CAATTTATAAAAATTTATAAAAATAAATTTTATTTTTAATATTAATATTATGTGAAATTATTTAATTAAATCATTAATAAAATTTAAGATAATTTTTATTTTTTTATGTAAATTAATTATAAAAAATATAATAAATATATTATTAACTTGTGTTTTAAGGTGCATGTTAAATATTTTTTAATCATATGATAATGATTATTAAGAAACTTTAATAAAATTGCACATTTACACCACTACATTGTAGCACATATTATAAAAGAAAGTATTACAGTATAAAGTGAAAATATGACTAAGTAAAAGTTATGTCAAATAACCCAAATCAATTGAAAAATGAAAAAATTATATTTTAAATCTTTAAATTTATCTTAAATTTTTTATTAAGCCTTTAAATTTTTATTAAAATAAAAAGTTCATAAACTTAGTAATATGAGTAATTTAATTATTTACTTTATGATAGATTTAACAATTATTTGTGTTTTATTTAAGTTAATAAAATATTAACATGTCATTACTTATGTAATGGATATTAATTTTATTTATATAAATAAAACACAAATAAATATTAAATTTACTATAAAAAATGATTAAATTATTTAAATTAATAAGTTTAAAATTTTATTTATTTCAATAAACATTTAAATACTTAATTTAAATTTTAAAATAAATTTAAAAACTTTACATAAGATTTTGTCTTAAAAAACGTAGTAGCTAGTAAAAATTAAAGAGAAGGGAAGAGAGAAACTCAATGTGAGGCCCACCAGCAAAAGCAAGGACGAAAAAAGAGAAAGGCAAAAAGAGGTGAGAAGGGTTAGAGAGACAAAGATAGGTGGCTTGAGATTTTCTAATGATCTTTGTATTTTTAAGATAATGAATATTATTGCATTTTATGCAATCCCTTTTTATTTTTTATTTTTTTAAGATAATGAAAAAAAATTTCGAGAAAAAGAAAAAGGGAACTTAAAATTAAAACCCAAATTATAGTAGTTTTAAGCACGTCATGCAATAAGAGGTCAGTAGGCCCCGAAGTGCTGGACGCAATCCTTTTTTATATGTATAGAATATTTCTAGAAAATGATAAAGTCTATTGTTCTCCAACTTATGTATCATAATTTTGTATTCATTTCAATTTATTTGACCTTTTATAGTTA